CATATATATATATATGTATATATATATACACACATATATATATAAAATCTGTGTGTGTGTATGTGCGTGTGTGTGTGTGTTTTCTTTCACTAAAAAAAATGTTGTGTGGCTCTTCAAATTGTCTGGCACCTTCTGGACTCCTTGTCAATCACCTTTCAGCCTAAATGAGCTTTCATTAAGAGCATCATCTGGTCAGACCATGGGAGAGCTGAGGTGGGGAGCAGAAGCCAGCCGCAGCCATTCTTCTTCTGTTTTCTGCACACTTGCTGAGAATCTTTGCCTAGCCTCCTTTCTCATCACTAACCATGCAGAATTTTATTCCCAGAGACATCACACATCCATCATGCCAGTTTGAAACCAAGCCCCATTAATACTGAGGTCTAAATATTAATTTGTGGGTTATTTCTAGCCTTTTCTTATTTTGTGGCTTCTTTTTCTCTTGAGATTTTAAAAGCCCAAGGATATAATTCCTGAAATGTTACATGTTGTTTCTGTTCTCTCAACTGTACTTTGCTTTCTAGTCTCAAAATTCTGGGAATGAAAGTTTCCTGATGAGAAGGTCGGAGTAGCTGATTCTCAGCATCTCCCACACCTCAAAGAGACTGTGGTCCCTCTATAGCCGGGATCACCCGGGACTAAGGTTCTATATATTTTAAAAAACTAATTTATTTTTAAAAGCAATGCTGGGGATTGAGCTAAGAGTCTTGTGTATGCTAGACCTGCCACTGCCAGCCAATCTATTACGTTTTGAACTGTGATTATTTATTTTGACATGTGTCTCTTACATGGTGAGGGTAGAAACCATGTTTCGTTAATCTCCAGTGCCTGGAACATTGTAAACAGAAGTTTTGTAAAGCATGCCTGGAAATCTGGGGTAGAAAGTGAGTGAGTGGCTTAAGTTAGAATTAAGCCTTATTGGTTAACTAACTCCACATCCTTGGAAGTTCACTTCTGTTTCTGCCCCTTAATCTCCTCTAGATGCTCCTCCCTGTTGACCCAAGCCAGGGGGCAGGGGGTGGGGGAGATGGGATCGGGTGGATGGGGTGAGCCTCATACTGGCCAAAACACATGAAAGGATTTTCACACAGAAACAATTACTGTTGGGGTCCTTAGCACCCTTGGAGAAGGATGAACTTATTTGGGAGGGATTATTCCTGACTCTGATAATATTTATATAACTGACTTTTGATGATTTGCATACAGTTGCTCATTCTGTTATATTATAGTTCATAAATGTATTTTATCAAAAATTTCAAAGCAATGAGACTTTATTATACATAGACTAATCTAAAAATTGTTTAAAAGAAAGTTGCTTAAAATTTTATTTATTTTTATTTTATGTGTTTGAGTGTTTTGCCTACATGTATGTAAATATACCATATGTGCAGTGCCTATGGAGGCCAGAAGAAGGCATCATAGTCCCTGGGTCTGGAGTTACTGGTGGTTGTTAGCTGCCATGTAGTTGCTGGGAACTGAACCTCAGTCCTCTGAAAGAGCAGCCAGTGTTCTTAACCATTAAGCCACCTCTAGCCCCAAAAGATTTGCTTTTAAGGTGATCCAATCTCAGCATAATGACATAGCTCTGCCTGGTTAGTTGACCTCTTAGAAATCAGAGGAAGCAGATCAGAGCTAGTAACTGAGTGACGTTCATAAATTCCTTAGTGTGATAGAACCTTGAATTCAGTAATTAAAAATGTGGTAAGGTCAGATTTTCTGTTTTGATTGAACAGGGATTTTTATTTTTTCAATGACAGTATGCTACCAACCAGAGTGTTTCAGATGCCTACTGATGAAGTCGAGTCAAAAGGTCAGCAACAAACCTCTGTAAACTCCATTTTATGCCACTTAGAAGATGCCAGGCAAGTGGCAAATACCAAGCATGTTTTGTGGTGGCAATGCCAATTAGCTTGTGATTGGTTCTCATTGTTTGATAGGAGGAAATATGTTACAATGACTAAAAGAATTTGTGTTAATATTACTTAGATCTGGGTTCAAATTTGTTCTTGAGTTACTAAGTTATGTGACTTCTTATCCTCAAGATTTTCATGTGTAAAATAGGTATACAAATACGTACTAATCAAACTAAAATTGCTATGAGAACTAAATACAGAGTATAATTTAGAACAACATTTACTCAATAAAAGGTAATTGTACTGCTCGCAATAACTGGTGATCTTATTATGTCAATCGTAATATCAATGCCATTATAATGATAATTCTTATTCATGACAGGTGATATCCTAAGAAGTCATGAATGTGAACTAATCAATCCCCCTTAAACATCACATACATGTGCACATAAGGACTGTTACTGGTCTAGGTTTAAAACTGAGACTAACAGAGGTCAGTTAACTTACCAGAGATAAAAAGACACAGCCAAGCTTCACTCTGGCAGTCTGATTGTGAATCAGAATCCATAGCCACGACTCTGCTGCCTTCCTGTACCCATGACACTGTTATGGACTTAGTGTTTTAGTGAAATGAGGCAAGTGTTTAGATAGCTCAGTAAAGACAATGCATCAATCACATTATGGTGGCCTTGGAGCACAAACACCTGCATTCTAAACTCACTGAATGGGTTTGTGTCCACTAGGTGGCATTGCCGTTTTAACAAAATGTGAACCAAGCCAATACTCAGGTTTCAGAGTCTGCTACAATTTGAGAGCACTCACAGGACCATCTAATTTCACCCTGATGGAAAATTTAGAGCACATGTAGAGATCTGTAAAGACTAGCGATATCTTGAGTAATTAAGAAAAGTACATGCTAGTTCTTTTTGGGTGTCAGTGCCTTTGCAGAAAGCCTGGATAAAATGGGAGATTCTCTAGTTCTATCAGTTCAGAGAAAAATAGGCTGAGGGCCCGAGAGGGAAAGCAAATTGTCCACAGTAGTACAGAGCCAATGGTTTTGGCTATAGTACTTTCCATACTCTCTACTGAGGATAAGTAATAAAAAAAAACATGATTTCTGAACACCTAGAAGGCATTCCTTTTCTGTGTGAGGGCAGAATGTTGCCCAATAATTGCATGTTTCATTAGATTAGGATTAAAACATTACTCTAAATGAACAGTATACTCAGGAACTTGGATGTTAAGTAGTACTTTTCCTTACTTGTTTTGACACCCTTTTTGGAAAAATTGGGTGCCTCCACATAAAAAAGCTATCATTATTAGTTGTGAATGCAGTAAATAGCAGGTTAATGGATGAGCACACGATTCCGGAATCAGACCGCTTGAGGTGGACCCTGGGCTCCATCACGGAGTAGTCACAGGCCCTGTGAGGTTGTAAGATGCCTCTGGGCATCTGTTCTGCAGTAAAATGAAAATACAGTTTCTTATCTTTTAATATTTTTGTGAAAATGAAATGTTTATGAAATGCCTGCGATGTAGTAAGAATGTGGTAAGGGTAAGACTAATAATCGACTGTGTTGCTGTATTCAGTGTTCAGTTCTTGATCCCTCAACTGGGTAGTCAACAAATTAATTCACTGTTACACGATTAACTGAAATAACATCTCAGGCTTATCACCTTGGCACATTACTTTATCCTTAAATAAGTATTCTAAGTAGCTAAGGACATGGCTATAGATTTCATTAGCAAATTAACTGAAAACGCTTGCAGGCATTAGGCCCTTCTGTAAGTAAGCACAGGGCATATAAATAATGACAACAGAATTATTGGGCACTTGCCCAGTGTTTAATTCTTACAACATCCCTGTCACCCAAAACCGTGCTTTCTCCTTTCCAAAGATTAAGAGAAGTGCGTTTGAGGAACTTGCTCTGTTTTACATTATAAACTACTGAGCTAGGATTTGAACTCAGTAGTTAAATTCTGAGCTCTTAGCTACTGCCACTGTTGGTCTAGCTCTTCTAAGCTGTGGGGGGCATGCAGGTCTGCTACCCAGGAGAGAAATATGGGGCGTGGCATCTAGTAATAGTTTTGTGGCAGTTTACTAATGAGATAATCTAGTTAGTTAAACATTTCTTAGATTCTTGAGTTTAACAGGGTGAAATAAATTTATAACAGACCAGAAGAGAGCTTGCTTGGGATGGTGTACCTCTGAGATCATGCCCTAAGGAAACAAAGGGCATTGGAACTAGAAGAGTCCTATGACTTATTTGTCACTTTGTTTTAGAACATACAGACAATATTCTTTATTGCTATGATTCAGAATCCCATAAGGATTCTTGTGTGTGTCTCTCTGTACATGTGTGTGTGTGTGTGTGTGTGTGTGTGTGTGTGTGTGCATGTGTGTGGATGGAGACCAGGGGACTTGGGTGTTGTTCTTCAGGAACTGTCTATTTTGGTTTTTGAGATAGGTGTTCTCACTGGCCTGGAGCTCAGGTAGGCTAGATGGCTGGCCAGGGTGCCCTGGAAATCTGCGTCTCCACCTCCTCAGTGCTGAGATTATGAGCAGGGCATCATGCCTGGTTTTTTAAAAATGTGGAGTCTGGGGATTGAACTCAGCTCCTTATGCTTGAGCTGTCGCCCCGGCACCCAGAAATGGAATTCTTGAAGTTAAATTTTCAAAATCCTTAGCTATCTCCTGGTCTACCTGCTGCCTTCACAAAGGAGGATGAGGTAGTTTGTTTAAGGTGCCCCCTCACTGTTTTTGATAGTGGGCCCTGATTGAGTCAGCCCGCACTGTCTACTTCACTTTGATTAACATCACTTTGGACAGCTGCTGAAACTTCCGTTTTTCTACCAATAACATTTTTCTTTCACTGAGCTCCCCAATTCAACAGATATCATTTGTCCTTACAGAGAGCATCTTTCTATTTATACTTTCTTTTTTCTCCCTTCACCCCAAATAAACTTTTATGGGGCAAGGGAACAGTGACATTTATTAGAGTGTATTTTAATAAAATTTTATTTTCTCAGTGGAAACCATCTATGCAAGTAATTTAATTTAGAGCCAAGAAAATGACCTTACTAAATAGAATAAAGGCACCTTCAAAGGGGAAATTCCAAAAATAAAATTTGGAGAAGACTCAAACTTACCAATCTCAGTCATGGTTATCCCCGGAGCTAACTGTCCGTTGTTGAAAGAGTTATAGGTAAACAAGTTGGGTACGGATGTGAGGTCATAGATAGGTTCTTGCTTTATCTGTTTGATTCCAGTCATGTCCAGTCCTGACTGATCGGGAGACGGCTGAGCAGAATCTATGTTGTAGTACCCCTCGGACTTGGGCAGGTCAATGACGTGCCCGTTGGTATAAGTGCCGCTGGCCTCAGTGTTCAGGCTGCTCAGGCCGTTGCTGATACTGCTGCTGTACACCCTGGCGAGTGCCTCGGCCTCCCCACTCTGCTGCTGCCGCTGTTCCTGCAGCCGCTGCTGGTGCTTCTGCACCTCGGCGTACAGGCTGTCCCTCTGCTTCTTGGACATCCTTCCGAACTTTACAGCTGGGTTGGAGAGAAGAGAAAAAGACAGTGATGTGGTTACTATTCCCCTTAACCACCTCGATTTAAGGAACATGGGTAGTAGTCCCTTCAATATCAAGTAGATAAATTCTTAGTGTTAACAACCTAGGGTTTCATTCATTTACCTTCCACACATGGGGAAAGATGTTTGGAGGGTATGCTGGTTTATATCACAGTGAAAATGAAACTTAAGTGTGTTGGCCAGTTTTCCCACTACTGTGACTGATACCTGAGGTGACCAGTTTATATGGAGAATAGGTTTATTTTGGCTTACAGTATTAAAAATATCGCAGTTATTTGTCTCAGGCTGCGGCTGGGTGGATCATTGCTTTTGGGCTTCTGGTAAGACAGATAGTATGTAGGGTAATGTGTAGCACAGCAATTCATTCAGCTCATGGTGAGGAGGAAAAGAAAAGAAAAGAAAATGGGCTGGAGTCCTGTTATATCCTTCAAAAGCATGTCCCCCAGTGATGCAAGGTCTCTCCCTAGGCTCCAGGACCCCAAAGGCTCCACAACCTCCCAGCAGTGCCAAGCTGGAGACCAGACCTTTAATATATGAGCCTTCGGGTGACATTCAAGATCAAAACCATAGCAGTGAGCCAATAGATTTGTCATCGCCATGAAGTTAGAAGATATGTTCACTTAGCTCTTTTTAAAAATTTTTTATTTTATTTTATTTTTTTCATTTGTCAGAAAAGTAACATATACAAAACAACACAACACAACAGCAAACGTCCTAAGACTACCAAAGGGTTCCTGCTATTAAGATGGCCACCACACTCACTATTAACTTTCTTTTCTAAGCATTAGGATGGCCAGATTCTTGAAAAAGAAAATATTGTTTCACTTCTGCACATATTTTATAGGTAATTCTTTGGGTAAGACCAAGGCTGCAGGGTGGGGTGCAAACCTCGTTTGCCATCCACTGGATTTGGAGAGCAAACGATAAGAACCTGCGGAAGCGGCAGTTGTGAACCTCTGGGGCAGATGGGCCAACAGGAGCTACTTTCCTCATCCTACCAGCTCCAAGTTTTGTTTCGCCCATTTCTCTTGGCCAAACTCTCAGGCATTCTGAGGGAAGCCGAGGAAGAGGCTCCCCCCCCCCCCCACTGCTCGTTTCTGGGGTATAACCTCCTGAACTGTTAGGGAGAGTGACATTTTTCTTTACAAGCTGTCAACTTCTTTTTTTTAAGCATGTGAGCACCCTGGGCCTCGGGGCTACCTGGTCCAAATCATCCTACACTCCTCAGCTTATGTTAATGGTGGGGACTATGATGATTTTAGAGGGACTCATCTGAGTTCTGCTTTCTTTTCTTTGGTGTCGGTTTTCTCATTGCCTGTCTACATGGGACCTTGGGGAATGTAGAAAGGAGGATGAGGAGTGTAGAAACAGATCTGGATTCAGTCATCACGGCTGGAACCCTTTCTCACAAAAGCTACAGAGTGCAGTACTTCTGGACTCTGTAGCTCAGAGGGCCCAAGGAGGAGGTCCACATTGGGAGGGTGCTACCCTCCGTTCCCTACAGCACTCCCCCAAATTTATCTTCTTGCATTGGGAATGAAGCTGCGCTTTGGCTGTTCAGAGTGGAGATCACATCTTCCAGCCCTCTTACTGGGAGGTGTGGCTGTATGGTTAAGTTCTGATTAACAGGAAGTACATAGAATGAATCCTACAGAAGCTTCTAGGTAGAGTAGCCTGTGTGTTCCAGCTTCTTACCTGCTAGACTTTGGATATTGGGACTTGATTTTAACAAGTTCAAATGCTTCCTACTTCTAGGTATTCCTTAACCTTTCTAAAAGAAAATCCCTGTATTTTGGTTTTCCAATATCGCCTAAATAGAAAGATGAAGAGGCGATGATTTAGGCATTTTTCTCAATGAAGAAAAGCAATCTGATTGATTCCTATTATTCTCCTTTTCTTTCTAATTGTTGCTTCAGCTGGGTTTTGAATCATTTTAGATCATTGTGTCTAATTTGGTGAGCAGACAGTACTGTTACTAGATTCTGCTTCTCGGAGGCAGGCTTACTTGTTTACTGATGGCAGTGATATTTTCAATTTACATGGGCAGAATTCTACAGTAACTTTTAGGAAAGGACTTCTCTGTACTTCAATATTATCATTCTAAATGATTTGCTGCAAACTGTTCTCTAGAGGAAAAAAACATTTTTATAAGAAAAATTAAACAATATTAAACATTGACTCCAGAAGCACTCATGCCAGGAAAGTGGAGTAACATCATCTTTGTTGTGGGATTTGGTCCTTTGTATCTGTGTCAGCACAGACAACTCTTTTTTTTCTTCTTTTTAAAATTACATTTTGTGATTTCATACAAATTTCATATAATTTGATGGTGCTATGTATCGTCGCACCTTTATCTGTACCTCCTTCTTATTGCCCCTCCCCATCTGATGTACTCTACTATCACACACACACACACACACACACACACACACACACACACACAATGGCCTATAGTCTGATGTACTCTATTACACATATATACATACATACATACACACACACAATGGCCTATAGTCTGATGTACTCTATTACACATATATACACACACACACACACACATCCCATTGCCCCTGCCCAATTTAATGTACACACACACACACACACACACACACATATATATAATGGCCTATAGAGTGTGATTTGTGTCCCCAAATGTCCTTCAGTATGGGTCCATCCACTGGAGCCTGGTTAACCTACCAAAAGTCCCATGCTTGAACGAGGCTGTCTCTGCCTCTCCCAGCAGCCATCAGTTGCCACAATTTCCATAGGTTGGGTTGGGGATTCTTACCTACTTCCTCATGTCTATGCTGACATTTTTGTCAGACAACTCTTTAAGGCAGTTATAGTCTTATGAATAGAAGGTTCATGACTAATGCCTTAGATGGAAATTTTGTACTTACTTTAGTAGACGTGTGCATTTGCTGGTTTAAATAATAAAAATTAGAAACTGCAAGTGGGAAACCCTTCTAAGGTGAAAACAGAACTCTGCACCTCTTGCGACTTCTCACTTCTTTCTCACTTTAAATTTCTACATATTTTTTTTTTTGAGGCAGTGATTGTATTAACAACCTTGATCCCTTTCACCTGCATCCTTCATCTCCTTCTCCATGTCCAGTCCCAGAGCCTTCTTACTTGGTGCACACATGCTTCTCGGCTCTTGACTCATGGTCACATGATCTGCTCTAGTCCAATGGGTATTGACAAATGTGCCACAAGCTGATACTTGAAAAGGGTCTGTGTGATTGGACACCTCACCATAGCAAGGACATGCCTGAGCTGTATTTATGAACAATAACATATGCAAATTAATCCAAGCGCTCAGTCATCCAAGCAAGGCCATCTACCATCAGCAGAGCCACAGACTGACCTGCAGTTTCAACATGCTGAAATTTGCTTTTAACCATGGTTCTTATGATTAGAGCTAAGGATGCCAAGAAGGTATGCTGCCCAGAGCCCTGCTGTGGTAAACATCTGAAGGCTCAACAGTGCAATCCACATCTTTTATATGACATCTACTAATCCAGTTACAGAAAAATATTTCTGGAATGTTTGGAAACAAAGCTACTGCATTTTGGAATTATGAGGCTTCATCCTAAGTCAAGTGCTTCACTGACAATGACTGTAATACTGACAATGACTGTTCTAGAATGATCTTTCATTCATTTTCTGAAACATTGATGAGCCAGCATTTCAGTTCTATGTCCTTTCCTGCAATAAAGCTGGTGATATATTTGAGGAAAAATACACAGTACATGGAAAAAATAGACCTACTTGAATTTCCCAACAAATATTTCCTTCCTATTATCTGTAAATACATTTGTTGTATCATAACTGCCCTTTAACAAAGGCCGTGATGTTATGTTTTCATGTACTTGCACTCTTCCCCACTTCTCATAGCGAGAACGGCACATATATTAACTGTTTGCCCCTCTCAAACCTGAATTATTCTAATGGCAGTCACTTGAGTACAGAGGCAGACTCTTGTTAAACTGCTTCTTAAAGAAAACAGTACAATTCTGTATACATTGCAAGGGAGATAAATATTCTGTGCTGGCGGCCTCATCTCATGATATGCTCTTAACCCATATTTCAACCCCACACTAGCAAAGAACAATTTTATGCAAGAATACCAGAAATCACTTCATTTTGCTTAGATTGTGGGATTATACGTAGAATCGAGGTTCTTAGGGTAACTACAAATTAAAAATCATCGAGCCATTGAAGATTTGTAGCTGTTACTGCATAAAAATTGAGCACAGGTTTTTGGTTTCAAGAGAAGCAATTTGGACAACTCCCACCTGAAACTCTCTATAGTTATTTTGGAAATTGCTTTATCTTACTATCTCCAGTTTTCTAGGCTTATAGCTGCTTCTTACCAATGACACTGGTCTTAATTTAACTCTTTCAGAATCAGAGAAGTAGTCCTGCCTTTTATGATCTAAACTTTGTATTAGAAGGTTGATTAAATCACTCATTTCAAGATCTTTAAATATTTTTAGTTAAATTAATCTTTTACCTTCTAGATTTTTGCATGGTAAATATTGTTTTTTTCTCTGGGGCCCAATACCTTCCTACTGATTCTAAACGTTTCTTACAAAGGGCTCTACTGAAGATTGTGAAGGGTCCAGTTAAAAGAAACGTAGAAGCCAGATGTGGGGCACCTGTCTGTAATCCTAGTACTTGGAAGGACGAGGCAGGAGGACCACCGTGGAGACAAGCCTTGCCTACATACTGAGTTTGAGGCCAGCTTGGACTACAGAGCAAGACCTTATCTCAAAACAACAACAAAGAAACAAATCAAATAGATAATATGGTGGAGAAGATTCCATGGAACTAAATGTGTTATCAGTTCACACACACTTTCACCTCTTTGAAAACACAAGCACTCGGAGGTATTGCTCAAAATGCTTTCAATTTTCTTGGATTCTTTGCCTAAGTAAATTCAAATTATGCTTTGCCTGAATGTATGTAAGTGCACCATGTACATGCAATGCCTGCGGAGGACAAAAAAGGGCATCAGATCCCTTGGAACTGGAGTTAACTGCCATTTGGGTGCTGGGAACCAAACCTGGGCCCTCTGCAAGAGCATCAGTGCTCTTAAGCACTGAGCCATCTCTCCAACCCTGCTAGGTAAATTTAAACAGATGTGTAATTCCTGAGTTCGATGCCTGCTCATATATGGGCTGTGGCTAATGAGGTAGTGCAGAAGCAGCTCAGGAGAGAGTGAAAAGCCAGTGAAACCACAGAGAAGCAGCTGTCTGCCAGCAGCTGTGCTGTTTCAGTGACCCACTGTAGTGAAGTGGACATTCTTAGACCAGGCAAAAATGACAGACAGACAGGATGCACAAAGTGAAGATGCTACTGTATCTCTGAGGGAAGGCAGGGGCTGTAGAAGGAAGTTAGGTGTGAGGACACCATACCGTGGCTCTGGCACTGCTGATGAAGCGCTCTGTCAGTGTTCGCTGAGTTGGCAGATGGCAGGGATAACTGACAAGTGGCAGGAGACATGGCTTCGCTTATTCTCGAGTCCTGACTAGACCAGGACTTTTGGATTCTTCAACACCATATACTAGTATTACTTATCAAGAGAAGATGAAACCTCACTAGCTCTCTGGTCCCTGGTATTAGTGTGGTTTTCTTGGTGTAAGGGTCCCGTTATAATCAAGGTTCTGACCAACTTCATGTGTATAACGTAGTAAAGAAATATTTTCCCTGGGGCGACTCTTTTCTCTCGTTTCCTCACATTCTCAATGACTCTCACCTACAGCCCCGCCTCTTCATTCTTTTGGCATCGGGCATCCTCAGGAGGTAGGTTTCTGGATTTTCTCTGAATGTAGAGTTGAAACGAGTCATTGTCTTTATTCCCCTATGTCCTCAGGACCACCTTGCTTTGTCACAGGTGGCGTTCACTGCCGTGAATTCTTTCTCCTTGAGAACTGATGATGGCTCTGTTTGTTAGGTAATCCCCCCACTTTCCGAACACATTTGTTTTGTCATGAGATTCAGAACTCTCCTGAGTTTTGTGGGTAGATGCTGACCATTGACTGCCCTGGACAAACATTTGTCTCTTGCCAACATTCTGTTCTCCAGCAGTGGCCCCAGGACCTGCCTTTGATTGTAATGAAGATGTAATAAAAATAAGTACGCTCAATGGCTTACCTCTTTGTACAGTTATCAGTGGTGCTTTTTAGATACTGTCAATAAATATTCAGCCTCCATATAGGAGAAATAAAGTACAAAGTCAACTCAGACTCCATTTGTAAAACGGATCCTGAGTCATTTTCCTTTACCCTCCGTGTGATTTGCTTTATGTAGAAATATGCAGTTCTGTTATTTTACCATAGGAAAAAATATCGTGATCAGTGAGCACAGAAAAACTATGAAACAAACAGAAAACTAATTCATTTTGGCATCTTGACTTTTTGCAACTTTTGAAGTTCCATATTAACTGAAGGACCAGAATTCCCCCTCCCCCACCTTTCCTTTTCTGTTCAATTTGTCTAACAAGTGTGATTTTATGTGAAGCAAGTTTAGGTTGATTAGGAATTAGAGAAAAGATAAAAAATCCAGTAACATTAAATCCCTACATAAAAAGATACAAGTATGTATCAATTATCCTATATTTTTTAAAACTTGGAAGTTTCTGTTTTGCATCCACATGACTTTGAACTTCAGTTTACTTGAGAGTGTGACCAGAGATATAGAATCTACTGATTCACAAAGACAGTGTCAAGGGCATTGTCTGTGTCTCAGACTTGAGGCAGAATTCCACAGTTCATTCAATAATCATTTGGGTGCCTAGTTTATTGTGACCTTTAGAATAGAGTGGAAATGTGTACATCTGTAATTCCAGCACTTAGGAAGTGAAGTCAGGAGGATGAGGAGTTTGAGGACAGCTAGGGCTACAAGAGACCATCTCAAAACAATTAAACAAGCAAACAAAACCAATGGATGGATGCGAGTCCACTTATATTTTGCTGCAGGAGAGTTGGAGCCAATGCTCCTAGGAAAGAATGTATGTGGATACTACAAATGGTTTTGAAAGCCAGGCAAGGCTGGGCATGGTGGCGCACGCCTTTAATCCCAGCACTGGGGAGGCAGAGGCAGGCGGATCTCTGTGAGTTCAAGGCCGGCCTGGTCTACACAGTGAGTTCCAGGACAGCTGGGGCTACAGGGAGGCCCTGTCTCAAAAAGAACAAAAACAAACAAACAAAAAAAAAATGCCAGGAAAAACTCTCCACATCATTTAAATTTTTCATCTTGTTTCATTAATCTAAGAAATTTGGTTGGGGAGCCAAGCTGCCCTGTTTGGTCAGGTGCGAAGGAGAAGGGCATACTTTGTGATTTTCCAAGTAATCACCTCCTCTACAAGCTTTCTAAGACTTGCGGTCTTGATTGCCCTTGTAATCTTCATCCCAGCTCAGAATCCTTCACTGTCGAAATCCTTCATGGAGCTGTCGATGAACTCCAGCGAGGTAACACTTCCTATAAAGGCGCATTCTAGTTCTTAGCATCTCTACTCACTAAGCAACTTGTGTCAGACCTCCCTGGTGCACGAATGGCTCCTGTCCCTGGTAGCTTTCTGGCTTTAACTCTGAAAGTTTCATATCCCAGGAAACCCTTCTTCACAAGAAAACGTGGACAGATATTCACCTACCATGTAGGCCTATGGCCTTCCTTAACCTCAGACTGTGTCACAAGCCACCACCAGGCACCTTCCTTCTTATTTCTTAGGCAGGACTATATTTTATGTATTCCTACCTTACTTCTTAATTCGCAAACAGCACTGTGGTTTTCTTTATATTCCCAATTCCCACATTTAAAACTCTTTCAGTAGCTTGAACAGCCTCTAGCAAAGCAGCCATTTGAAAAGTCTGAGAACTAGGAAGGCAGAGCCTTACCATCTCTTGACATTCCCAGGGCAAGACACTTCTGCAGTCGGCAGTGTTGGCAACGGTTCCTGTTGGTCCTGTCTATTAAACAGTTTCTCTGCCTTGGGCAGGAGTATGAGGCATTGTTCTGCTGGCTCCTTCGAAAGAATCCCTAGGAAGAGGAAGGGGAGAGGGTGGCAGATTAAGAAGATTTAAGACATTAACATCTTCACTGTAGTGAATAAACAGTAGATATAACTGAGTGTAATTTAATAATTTTGAATGCTTCTTGGATACAGATGTGTGAGGCAGAAATATGGTGGTGTTGTTCATCCATTCACTCACTCATTCAATATGTACTAAAAGCATTTCTGAACTGTGCTGTTCTTTGCAAGGAGAACAGTTTTAGCCCAAAAGAAGAGTTGGGAAGGAGGGGCAAAGAAATGTGTCACTGTTAAACTGAATATTACAAAGTCTGATGGGACAAGGGCCCAGGTATGCTGTGGGCACAGGTGCAACCATGGCTTTGAGCAGCGTGAGCTCAGCATATGCCATGACGTCCCTACTTTCTAAAATGTGTTTTTCCACATCTAAAAAATTCTAATTGGCCAGAATGTATTGAGAAAGTTGTTTCTTAAACCAACGATGCACTGGATCATAAGCCATGTCTTTGAGTGAAAGAAATACGGAGTACAACCTCTTCAATAAAACAAGCAACAAATAAGAACTAAGCAAATGCTTGCTCTTAGGTGATAGAATATAGGAAATTATACTTCTTATAAGTAGGCTTCCATTCTCCTGGTAAAGGATGAACTGCCACTGATCATACACCACCTTTTAAAACTGTTAGTTTTTCAATTCATTGTGTATCACCCTCCCTTAGTTTCCTTACAAAAACAAGAGGCCAAAAAACCCATTTTACCTAGAGACATAAAGGTTGTCACTCGTTCATTCCCCCTGTAATCAGTTTTCCTAGTCCCTCTTTGCTCTTGAAAGGCCTACAGCGAAACAGTGAGAGTGCTAAGTGCCGTGAGCAACATGATGGCCTCAAATAGACGTATTAAGAAAAGCACAGGAAAAGATGGCCCTCAGCTGTATCTTTTAGAAGTAGAAAGCCTCTGAGAGGCCCCTAGCTTCTTACAAACACCTGTTTCCACAGGAGAATGGAGCAGGGCTGGAATTGGTGAAGTGCATCAGGCAGTCACCTGGGTTATAACATTTATGGTGCAGTAAAAATAAAGGCAATTAGGAAAAACAATGTTTTAATACAAAGTGTTAAAATCAATATCAATAAAAAAGTTCTTAACAGTTTGAGTAAAGACAGGATTGTTACTATTGATTTTCCCTTTGTCTTGAATTTCAGCGTGGCTCAGCTTGACACTGTGAAGAGGTTTGGCTGACCTGTGAGGAACCTCAGAATGCTGTGTGGTCAAGGGCCCCTTGGAGAAAGAGTCCCAGTTGGTTTTGTGGTTTAAGTCCAAAGCCATTCAAGAACAGCTATTTCATCTCTATTTCTCTATGTGTGGTATTTGTTCACCGGACCAATGACTGCAGAATGGGGCTCCATGAATCCAGTTTGATTGGATTCTTAAAATAGAAATTACTCCTAAGCCCCAGGGGCTGAAATGACGTGCTTCTGCTTCGTATACCAGGACAGATGTCAGAAAACGAGATTAAGTGCGTTGGTACTTATTAAAGATGACTTGAAATTTACATTTTAGGGAAGACTCTTGTGGTTTTTATCTTTGGATACTATAGTGTCATTTAGTAATAGAGTTGACAGGGAAGACTTCTGAAGTCACAGCTCTAAGACCTAATTTACAGCCAATTTCACATTAATTATGAGTCATTTCTTGCTTATCTTTTGCTCATTATTGCAAATGAGATTTTTTGGCATGAAAAAGAGACTTTAAAATTTTACTGAATGAACAGGAAATGAATCTGTTTGTGAGCTGAACTGATGTTTAAAATGGTTGTGTATGTTGACTTCATGGCAGTATTAGGAAAACTCAGAGGTTAAAAACTGAACTTGCTGACATTGACATCTGACTCAGAATGGGATTTCTTGAGTTTTTTATCTGGAGAAAAATGTAGTGTTTTTACAAATGTGGGGTTTTTTCTATGAAATGAATAAAAGGAGTGTGATGTGTAGTCAGTTTGACTAAAACCTCAGAATATGCTTCATGGTGACAGCATAATTTCTTTGACTGTGGATTGGAAAGATGACAGGAGCCCAAGCATTCATTCCTGCTGTTGTGACATGTTGGGTTGTTTGTTCAGTATTTAAATCTTTTAGACATTACTATTTAAAACTGTTTGCTCCTTAAAATGAATATATGTTCACAGTTTGAAGTCAGACATTTTCCAGATCCCATACACAGCAAGTTATCAAACACCTCCACTGTTACATTCACATAAGAACATTTCTGTGGCTATCATGTAGACCAGACTATGGGCTCTCACAATTGCAGAACAAGCAGCTGGCGGTAGCAGTGCCTTCAACAGACATGGCTTTGATGGCAAAATTACTAGTACTTATGAAGAAAACTATTTGCCTGCCTGCCCAGAGAAGGTAATAACTTATTTAGGTAGAGTAAAATAAATTGCCAATTTATTACTTTGCTTTATTTTTTCTTTTTGGTGGGCTAAAAATTTCATTATGGTGGATGTTCTTAATTATGGTTCTGCAGAGGAAGAGAATACAAGCGACATCTTATCGGACCCGAGTGTGGATATGGCCACCCATCTGTATCTCAGACCCAGCCACTGTGCTCGTTTTCGTCCTCTCCTCTGTTATTCTCATTTATTTATTTTTATTTTCTTATCTCCATTTTCAATTCTAAGAACTGTATTTTTTGAGACTTGTGAAGACACTATCAGTTTTCATACAGTACTACAATTTGAAAGAAATAGCCTGTTTTATCCTGTTTTCTTTAAAAGACGTTTGAGATTGTGATTGAATCTAGAATCTATGACTGTAGCACATCTCTCTCAGTTTACTGAACTTGAATTAATGATCCACCTTGCATGTGCCCATAGCTGTTTTTACAAAGACTTTATCAACATAATACCATATGTCTTATATAGTACTTGCATTTTGTTTGTTCTGATTATACATGTGCCTTTGAAACTCATCGCAGAGCTGTTCTGATTGCCACTTGCTATTCAGTCTCTCACTCTTTCCCTTTTAAGGATGAATTTTGGAAAGCGTAATGTTAAATTTCAAATTCTGCTTATGTTAGATTATTTCCTCTAGCCCTATGTTTTCAAAGCAGTTTATGCACAGGAATCAGTGTCACTGGCTTGGTGGAATCTTTCTGGGAAGGAACACTGGACAGAAAATGAAAAAAAAGGAAAACTTATGGTCTTGATCAATTTTTTTTTCTTACTTAGATCAAGGTATTGGTCAAATAACAAAATCAAGAACTCATTAAAAAAGGTGTGGAAAATTGAAATGACTTGAGCAATTGTGACGACTTTTGATGGCTCTAGTTCACTCCTAACACCCCATGCTTTCAGTTCTCTTTGTTTTCTGGAATGTGAGAATACAGGAGGGCCATATGTATGTCGAACCTTGATGTCCTCTTTAGCAAACAGATAAACATTTGCCCGTTAGTTTATAGTCTTCAGTTTAATCTCTAGTCCTAGCATATAGTCCTGAGTGCCATGGAGTCAACGCTGCTAAAACAGCAAGAATTGGCATATATATCTTTGCAAATGTGACTAGTTCAAGCCTTTAAATGAATGTCTATTTTTCAGGAGCTGCTGACCAGTTAAGCTTAAACAGGTCGGAGGTAAGTGAAGAGAAAAATCAACCCACCCACCCACGGAACCAGACTTCCCTTCTCAGCAGGCGCATGCGTTCTTCAGCAGGCCTTCTTTAAGGCATCATCCCAGGGCTGTGAATGTCCCTACCTTGCAGCCTTCACAGGTGATGACTCCGTAGTGGATCCCGGAGGATTTATCACCACAAATTTTGCATGGTATCACTTCAATTTGTGCTGAAAAGGGAAAATACACATTTTGATTTTACAAAGTTTCCTTCTTTCCTTGTTTCTCATTTCATGCTCACCTGTCCCTGCCATGGTGTTTGTGTTGAAAAATGCTGGGCCAGAGTGGTGGCCTGGGATCATCTGTTACTATTTGAATGGCCTTCACAAGCTTCTTTTAAAGAAAGGACATCTATTTACCAATCCTTGCTATGCTTTTTTTCAAACTAATTCTGGATATATATATATATATCTCCAGAGTCCAGATGTTTTCTAAACTCTTACTTTCACTGTTTTCTCCTATAAAAACTTTGTCATCCTTAAAATAATGTGACAGAAAAATCTCTTGAATTCATGCTTTTGTATTTCTTAAAATATTTGAAATAAGAAGTCACTAAGAGGTTTTATATGGCCTTATCTCAATAATATTTTAAATAAGTAAATAAAACAAATCTGGGACTTGGGTATATAGTGACATTGCACATTATGGGGCTGGACAGGCTGGATGTTTGTTTGTGAAAATACCAGTAATGAATCAAATGAACACTTAGCAAGCAAGCTCTATATGTTTGCAAAGATACTGAAAGATGATACGGTAATGATCCTCATAGCTTAATTAAACAAAGTTAATAGAGAAATAAGAAAAAATTATATGGGTTTGAGTATGCATTAAATTTCATCGGACCTGATAAAAGCTCAGCATGGATTGGGGAGGTGGGCAGATCCTAGTTCAGGATCTGCTGGCAATTGATAGAGAGAGAGAGAGCGAGAGAGAGAGAGAGAGGAGAGAGAGAGAGTCAATTTTTTTACTGGTGTGACACCTGGTAGATTGACCGGACTTCAAAGGATAGACCCATACCATACAGCACTTGGGGGAACACAGATTAGACATAATAGGCTTTTAAATAAAAAGAAAGAATAATAGAGGACGTGAAAGCAAGGTAAGGTGTGTGTAGTAAGATGGGATGGAGATGGAGGAGGGGGTCTGAATGTGCTAAAACTATGCTGCATGAAATTCTCAAATTAAAAATACTTTTAAAACTCCATTGGAGATGAAGACTTTTCATATTGGCGATGGGGGTGGAATTTGGTTAGGCTAAAGGGAAAGGTAAGAGGCACTAAATAGTAAAAGACTGGAGGTCTGGTATGACTGTGGTCTGTAATCCTATAGAGTGACTGGCTCTAATGGAAATTTGGGTGATATGGCTGCATAGAAGCATGACACCAGATTTTGGAGCTGCTGGAAAAGGCGTTTTCAACTGACCCCACTTGCTGTGAGGCATGGACAAAGCGAGAAGTGAATAAATGGTGAAAGTAGGCCTGGAATGTTGCTCAGTCCTGGCATGGTGTTAGGCACAGAAGGCCATTTGTAGGAATGGAGGCAAAGAAACAAGTATAAACATAGCTGAAGGGCAGAAGTGAGGTTACGTGATGAAAGGATGGAGACTGATGAAGAACTGTAAGTGATTTCTGCCTAGCCATGGAATTGAGGCAAAGTGAGAGTATTGACAAAATGGGACCATTTGGAGCTAGGGATGTGACTTAATGGTAGAGCACTTGCCTCTCATGCATGAGGGCTAGGTTTGACCCATAGCATTGGGAAAAAATGGGGACATCTGTGGAATGTGAAGGGGGTATGGGATTGTCATTGGCACATGTGCAATTTGATGTGGTGTCTTACAGCTCCTGAATATATAATGTCTTAGAAGATGATTTTTGTTGTCATGGACATTATTTAGAATGCAGCAATTTCCATATCTCTTCTAGTACTCTAAGTGTTGTCAAAATTATGCACACTATGAAGATGCACACTATTTCCTTTACCGATTTAAAATAATTATATGCCAAATATACTTCAAAATACTTTCCATATAAATTTGCCACTTGGATATATTTCTATGGTTTTTCACTCTTAGATACCTAAAACAAGTACGAAGCATTACCATCTTTTGTTATTTTCTATTATAAAGGTAATATTTAGCTTTAGGGTAGCACATTAAGTTTTTCAAAATTAAATAAACGTTAGAAACTTCAGATCATCTGTGTAAGGAAAAAGTCCTCCCAATAAAGAAATTTTGCTGTCGTGTTTATAGTAATAAAAAGAAAAAAAATCCAAGAGCGGGTAATGGGTGCGTGTGAATACAACTGAAGTACATTCTATGAATAGAAGATGTCACAATAAAACTCATGGCTTTGAACAATTAGTGTATACTAATAATAAATTGTGTTATGTTCCTAGGATGCATATTGTTACCAAGACTTTTGAGTTGACAAGGGAAGTGATAGAAATTTGACAGGTTTTCTTATACTTGATTTAGTATCTCATACTCTGACTTAACACAATTTTGAGTTCCCATGTTACCCTAAGAGTATCGGCTGAAGGGCTAATGGAAAAAAATGCCAGAAGAGATGGTCACCTAAAATACTGAGTGTTTCGGCGTGCTCCTGCTTCGTTTACTTTCATATTACCTGACTTAGTATTCTTTTTCAAGATTTTGTGATAGGGGAAATAGGAGATTTGATGCTATTCTCATTTGTTCCTCTGGATTGCAGCCCTTAATCTATTAATGATTAGGGCTATGGCCAAGATAAAGCTTCTGAGCCCACGTTTTGTGTCTTATAGATATAAATCTTCAACAAACTTCATAGAATTGTGAATAAAAATGTCTATTTTATGTAGAAGTGTTGTAAATAATAGATTAAACATATCATCACCATCATCACCATCATCATCACCATCATAACCATCATAACCACTACCACTATGAACTGCTTTTTCTAATGCTTTTTGAAAAGACGCATAACTTGCCACATTGTTGAATCTTTATTAGATTTTGTCATATTGAAATAATCTAATGAATGACACTCTTATTTATTTGTGCTATGGATTTTTAAATGCAATAACATTTCAAACACTGGGTTATTTTGTAATTATTATAAAATTGATTAAAAAACTCCTAGGTAGCCATTGTATAGTTTTTGGCTTGTATGATATGAAGTCAGAGACTCTCTTTGCATAAATTACTCCTCAGGGAGTAGCTTACACGTGGGGAGAATCTGCTTCAGTATATTCTTAATTATCAAATGATCTAACTTTAAAGGAAATGTAAATAGAGGTAATTTGCTCCCTGAGGTGTAGGAAGATGCTTTTGAAAGACACAAAGGTTATCTTTTACATCTTCAGAAATATAAATGAGATAAGGAACATTGGCCAGAGCATCTGCATATTTATACATATTTATGATCCTGGTTCAACGTGTAATCCTGAAGAGCTACAAGCACTTTGGCAGCCTTTTTAAAGAGAAAGCAGTCACTGCAAAGGTATACGTGTGTTACTGTGTATGTGCAGAGGTTATCAGTTTAGAAAGCTTATGACCATTTTTGTTTATTCTAGCAGAAAAAAATCGTCTGAGGTTTATTAGAGGTGAAGATAAATTTGAATCATTTGAGGGGCTGGAGAGATGGCTCGGCGGTTAAGAACACTGACTATTCTTATAGAAGACCTAGGTTCGAATCCCAGCACCCACATGGCAGCTAACAATTGTCCATAACTCCAGTTTCAGGGGATCTGAGAGTCTCTTTTGTCTTCTGCGGGCATTGCATGGCATAGGTGCAATTACCTACATGCAGGCAATACACACATACACATAAAATAAAAATAATAAATAAAATATTAAAAAAATGCAATCATTTGAAGTAGTAGTCACTTTCCACTTCTCTCAAAAAAAAAATCTTGTTTGGGGGCTGCAACTGTATAGTTTATATTATGTGTTTTATAAATTACAGCTTCAAGATGGAACTTCAGATACCAGTGCGGACATCAGACTACACCATAGCTCAGTGTTTGCTCTTTCTAAGTGTCTTGCCATGACACCAGGCATGGCCTCCATGGAATTGTGCTGTGATAGTAGACCTAGTGCGGTGCTCTCTGTCATTGCTTTGAGCTCAGCATGTTGAGGGATGTGGTGGCTTGAATCTCTGCAGCTATGACAATGAAGATAACAGAAGTAAACTGAAGAGTTGATTTTCTGTGGTTTTGCTTAACTCATAGATTTTTTTCAACATAGCAGTCTTTGAGAAACAGACAGGAGAACTCCAAATGCCCTGAGAGGTGGATAAGATTTACCAGTTTTCATTTTATTCATTGCTTTTTTTTTTTTTTTGGTCTTTTTGAGACGGGGACTTTTCGTAGCCCAAGCTGGCCTGGAACTCACTTTGTAGACCAGGCTGGCCTTGAACTCACAGAGATCCACCTACCTCTGCCCCCTGAGTGCTGGAACTAAAGGCGTGCGCCACCAAACCCAACTCATTTTATTCATTTTCATGGGTCCTTCTTGTCCTTTCCTTGCTCAGAGTCTCCTGCCCAATTTTGTGCTAAATCATCAACTTTCAGTTTTTCCTGCTTATTGAAAGGTACACCTCCTTAGTTCTGCCCTCTTCAAGCCTCTGCTGGTTGGAGCAAGTGTTAAGGTCAGATAGCTAATTCAGGCTATTGAGTTAACTAGAAAATGGCTCAGCAAAATACCGTCACTCTTAAAAGCATCCCTCAGGAAGGTAGTGCTGTTGGACCTGTCAGGTACATCAGCTTACTGCTCTGTATTCCCACTAATCCCAGTCTTCCAACTCAGCCTGGCCATTTTGGTATTCTGGGCATTTTTTAAGTTGAAACAGGGGCAAGGTCATGCTTGTTTGTGTGTGTGTGTGTGTCTATGGCTGTGTGTGTATGTGTGTGTGTATGTGTATGTCTATGGCCGTGTGTGAGTGTGTCTTCCCTATTGCTCTCCATGTTATTTCTGGGGCAGGGTTTCTCAACTGAAGCTGGAATTTACCTGGGCCAGTAAGCTGCCCAACCTGATCTGCCTGTCTCCATGTCTCCAGGGCTGGGGTTACAGATGAGTACCTCTGCCATGCCCAGCTTTCATGTGGGTGTTGGGGACCTGAAATTGGGTCCTCATACTTGCGCAGCAAGAACTTTATTTACTGAACCATCTCCCCAACCCGTTTTATGTGTT